AACAGGGATTTCAGTTAGAAATGTTTTATTTAAGGGAGAAAGTAAAGGACGGTACTGTGTTTTGTTTAAGGCTCGACACGGTAAGCAGTAAACAGAGGGACTGTAAAAATGTTTTTGAATTAATTAAACCAACGGGACGTTCCATTCTTTTTCCACTAGAGTCAAAAGCATGAATATCTGCACAAAAGTGTTTAAATGTGAAAAACATTCCACGGCTCTTTTAGGTGTCCTTCAAGGAAGCACAAACCGGCGCCAAGAATGGCTACTGAGAACAGCGCTTGTCAGCTTCTTGAATTTATCATAAACGTAATCGAGAAGCGTAGGCCCTACCTGGTTAACGGGAAGGTTCGTTAGATGTCCATACATTAGCCTTGAGACAAAATGGACATTATTGTATTACGTCATGAACCACACAGAATGCATTGCAGCTTGTGGGTATTTTTCGCTTCATTAATATGCATTCAGCAAAGGTTATAAGTAGCATGAGGGGTGGGGACTTGCACTCTCTCGGCAGGTTCAAGACAGCGGATGGTCTACTTAATTGACGTGACAGGTATCATTTGTGATACCTTAGTCCCGACTTCAACACATTATGCCTCAAACGTCTGAGATAAAACCATATTGTAATAAACTACCTGGTTTCATAAAAAGTGAAACCTTTATCTCGAAAGGAGACAATATTCCAAGGTCTGAAAGACTCAGCAACTTCCATATAAGGGTCACTTCCTTGGGTCGTGATTACCCACAGCACTCTTCTCTAACTGAATCCAATGGCTGATCGCCATGAACCAATCAGAACTACGAAAACAACACTTCAATCATCGACCTGCTTTCTCCAGTCTATCGCCCTTTCATCACAACCGTCTACTTTCACTGATTGGAGTTCATAACGTGTGTCATTCACGCATTTAGTTAAACCGACAGTCGTTTATTAGCTAAAGGTTTGACGTCATCGGCGTTCTCAACGTCATCGTTGCGAAAATGCAAATGTGGGATAAACTAAATAGGTTTAATGTTTTTCATGTATGGATCTGAAGGGATAAACGTCTCTGTTTCCCTTCTTCTGTTCGTTTGTTTGTTTGTTTGTTTGTTTGCTTGTGTTTCATTCTTTCCCTTCGGAAGACTGGATGTAATAAGAAGGTGAAGCCAGAAAATAGGCAAATTATCAGAAAAGGGAAAAAAATTCTCACAAAGATTCACGAGAATGGTTTGACAGCCTCGCCTTGCTAAGGATTAAGAAAGTACAAGGGATATTCCAGATTATCATCTCTTTCAATCTGCAACCTCATTGAAAAGTCGTGTCAAAGAGAATAGTCCCAGGTTTGGGCGCAGGTCGAGTTCATTTTGCAGTAATCGTTGCTCTACTTATCTCTACTACGTCTGGCAGCAGCAGCCTCGTGAGCAGTATGTAGTGAAGTGCAATATTTCATCTTCAGTGCCATCTGTAAAGAAGGTTTAGAGCAAGCCAGTCGTGGGTCAGGGGGGCATCTGCCATTTATATCTCACTGCAGTTATCTGGCAGGCACATTAATAACGGCTGGATATAAGATTAAAGCTAAGGAATGCTGACACTTTCAGGTCAGCCGAGCAAGCTATAAAAAGGTTTCCTGGTAGAACATGGTACATGTATATTGAGTGATGTCATGGAAAATAAGCGCTGCGTTCCCCCTCTTGAGGTTAGCTTTCGTACATCACCCAATGGCATTAACGTTATAAAGCTATTTTAAGAAGCAGAGCACATAGAAGCAAGCCCAATTTTGAGTCAATAAACTGTCAACTCATCTACTTCGATGTCATCAAGTATTGCTTAATTAATAAAAGAATTGTTAATTAAGAACTGAGGTAAAACAAAGGTCATTTTCAATTCGGCAAACCTGTACAAATTGAAGTAAATATCTTTACACTCCAGCCACCAGGTAACATTTGTTTAAGGAAATTAACAGCTCGATATAACGTTCTTATGTTCCTGAGTATCGTCACCAAATGTGTTACGTGTGTTAGCCATGGAAGTAAGTGATTATTCCACCTGGGTTCGGAACGTAACTCCATCCATGCAGAAAATGGAATCAGCAAACATGTCTTCGGTCACTGTAACTTTTCATGTTATGAATTCACCATTCCCTGCGCAGGTGCATCGCAATTTGATCGCTCAGGTAAAATGACAAAAAAAAAATAAACTTTAACCGCGCTTACCATTAGACCAAAAATTTAGCCACACAAAATGGAAATCGAAAACTCGCTCTGGTTTTACGAAGCTAATGAAAGAGTAATAACTCAGGATTTTAAATTGAAGTCATGTAGGTTTGAACTCTACCGTGCTGCCGTGCTTCACATCAATTTAATGCTTCCAGAAAGTATAGTCCCTCTTGTGTGTCCACGGGTGTGTGTGCAGGCGTGGCATACATAGTGTGGACCTCTTCACAAAAGAAGTCCACATAATGTAGGGTGTGATGGCGTTGTGTGGACTCACACACGTCCACACAATGTTTCCCTTCTCTGAAAAAAAGTTTCAGAGGCATTTTGGGGTCAAGGTTATCAATGGCAAACTGAAGAGGAACAATCCAGGAAATCATCATCAAAAATCCTGTTCGAAGGAGTTATCCTAGTTGGAGAAAAAGGAGCATTTCCTCAAGTTTCCTTAACCACAGGAGAACAAAGGAATGTCCACACTTTGTATGTAAAAACAGGCGTTTGTGTACATATATTGCTTATAAGCAAAAGCCTACATGGTCATTCCACGTCAGACCAACACACCTTTTGACCTTAGGTCTTCGGACTTTAATCAAAATTGCTGTGTTTGTAGACATTAATGAATAATAAATACAAGCCAGTTTTTAGCAGAATCTGTCCTTCCATATGGTCAGGGCAGAGATCAACAAAAATAGACAATTGTCACTTAGAAAGCCACCCTTTTAATGAAATGAAAAGTAACCCTCTCGCTTTGAATCAAATATATGCAAATTTGTAATCAAAATAATTCGACAAAGATGCTTTTTTCACGGATGTCGTGAAGATTTGCCTTTGGGAATCAAGGGTCAGTATGGCCTTTGACACGCTTCCGTTGACTCCATTTTAAATGCAAAGTATCATTTTGAAATATTTTAACACCAAATGTTTTTAAAGTATGGTTTCTGCTCTAGACGAATCCGCTTAAATCTTTCTGGGCATTTTAAAATCAAAGCGTTATAGCAATTTTTCTACGGTTGGTCAGCTTAGAATATGTCAATTTTGTATGTAGTCCTAATAGAGGAAGTTGTACTTAAGCAATTTGTGCTTTAAGATGAAATTAAGGAAGTTTGATATGGTCTTAAGAGTCAGAGAACTCTCACACAAAATTATCATTTCATGCGCGGAACCCGTTTTGGGAGCATAATTGAGTCTTAATATATGAGGAATTGCGTGGAATTCCAAGCTGTGACTTAAGGTGGCTTCATGAGATGTAACACCAGTGGACTCAAGAGCTTTACTGATGAGATAGATACTGCATATATCCTGTGTTGGTGATTTTGACAGACGGGCTAGACTGGTTGATGGTTCACCGACAAAAGATGAATCAGTAAGATGTTTGAGGTTTAGAAGCAAGTTGTGGTACATCAACGACTGGGGCAGAGCTTCTTTCCAGGTGTAAGACCAAGATGCTGACATAATTGTAATTGCTATAATATTATTATTCTTAACCCTTTGGAATGCACCTCGCTTGTGTGTACTTGGAGGGGCGCAGTGCTTCCCCTTATTAGTAGAATACATTTTCGAAGTCGTTGGTAATGTAATTACATACGCTGCATAATGTTTCACAAACTGATCTGAGCCGTAAACACAGTAACTCATCATCACTTGGGAAGTAATACTCAGTGTCATCAGAACATATCCCGCTGACGTACTTTCCCACTGAACGCTGGACCATGTCTACTCATTACAAACACCACACAAGTCACTTGAACAAAATCCTTGAATGGGATGCGCACCTTAAATCCTCCAGACGCCCGTATGAAATCCCGAAGAGTTTACTGTTTTACCCACACAGGGTAAATAGGGTCAATGGTCACAGATGCATGTTAAAGGTCATACTAACCCTTGATTCCCAAAGCCAAATCTTCACAACGTCAATGAAAAGAGCATGTTCTTCTGATTATTTTGATACCAAATCTCTATATATTTGATGAAAAATGAGAGATTATGTGTGCCATTTTTACTAAATTGGTGGAATTTTAAGTGAAAATTGTCCATTTTTGTTGATCTCTGCCCTGACCACATGGAAGGGCAGATTTCGCTAAAAATTGGTACGTATTTATTATATTCATTGATGTCTACAAGCACTGTAATTTTGATTAAAATTTGAAGACCTGAGGTCAAAAGGTGTGTTCGTCTGACATGGAATGACCCTAATACTGACACATTTGCTGACTGGTTATGCACATTGTGGAATCTAGCTGTATATGTCACACACTGCAAGCTACGCACATTTTATAATTATGATACAGGTTTAATGTGATTGTACTTTTTTCCTCACGTACGCCCTCAGGCAGCCAGTAAAGGATAGCAACAAACAACGTTCCTCAGAGAAAGACAACTATTTATGATGACTGCCATTAGTCAGAGGAACTTGGATTGCAGTAATAATTATCAGATATAGTCTATTTTCACGATGCCCGTGATAATTGATATACGTGATTATATTTAACTATAGTACTAACCGATTTGTATTTCACTACACATATTGTGCATCATATCATCTGACAATAACTCGACAAGTCGTGGAACAATCTAATTAACTGGACAAAACTCACGCCATTATTCCAAGAAGCCCTTCAACCAGTCACTTTTATCCATGCCGCAATGATTTTGCTATGGAGATATAGCTTTCAGAATAGTGTGTAGTGAAAACATAAAGAATAGGATAAAGGCACAGAGTGGATGGGTTACTCACGGTGAAATACAAGGTAAAGTAAAATACACATAAATGTAATGATAGGAGTACGGATACGTGGAACTTGACCTACCTTACTTATCATAGCGGAATCACAAGTCCCAACACGCTATGAGGACATAAAGGTGTCCTGGCGATAAGCACAACGATCCAACAAATGTGAAAGACGCAGACGACTATTGCTTTGATCAATAAGATTTATACTATTTCTCACGTAGCTTGCCGGATACATAATTCAAATAGATGCCCGTGATTGTCCTGGGTGGGTTAACACTTGCTTTCCTTCAACTGATGAGAGTTAATTGCAGGGGAAAAGCTACTCCCTAGGCAGAATGGTAAGCATAGGAGGACGGTTATATATCACCTTCAAATCCACAGTCATCTTTAACGGGGATGTCATTTAAACCAAGCTGAATACAATGTAATCACAACGGCAGGCAATACATCACATGGCCGCCATTGACCGTCGGGCCTAATCCACGCAGGAATAGGACTGGGTGTTGATTTCCTCACGTTTATAATTTTCCTGATGCGGTTGGAGATGCTCTCCACGGAGCGCAGTATTGTCTGGACTGAGTTGGTGATGGCGACGATGACAAATAGAGCCCTGCTATCTACTGTAATACGTGCGGTGTGTGCGGAATACCTCTACAGACACTACAACGTCATAATCACGTGTAATGTACATGTCTTTGCAATGCTTGGTATAATACACCGACAAAAATGCAGATGCTCAATATACACTAGTCTCAGCACTATACAGCTCACCCCGGGAACTAGTCTTCGTGTGGTCTGTCCTCACTGGACATGTGTACATGTACTGAGGTACTAGCTAGGTTTCAGTTGCCGCAAATTTCTGCTAATAAGCCTCATTCACAAGGGCCACAACTCGGGCATACTGCTTCACGTCTTGCTCGTGTCACTGTAGCCACAATACCAGTACGTATGTTCGGCGGAAAAAAACAAACAGTGAAAAGCACGTTAAAATCACAGTATATGCGTAGAGAATAACCTGTTTACAACGTTGCACACATCACGGCATATGCTAAAGGTGTGCATAGTGACGTAGAATCGTCCTTCCTAAAAAATGCCGGCACATTCATGTTACGCACTGTCACTCTGTCGCATCGTTGGTGTGTTTGCAGCAGGCTGACTGTATACATACTGTATATGTACTTTGTCACAAGTATCTAAGGGAGCAGGCAGAGCAATATCAACAGCTTGGGTCAACAGATATCTCAAAGGTTGAATACTGCCTCTTCTTGTCGTGTATTTATGCATATTATACCTGACCTGATAATGGCACATGTACATAAAGACGATCATACCATTTCAGTACAGTGTTGCATCATAGTTAGTAATCTTCTGCATATTGCATAGAGACCTACATGCGACATGTTTCTTCATTGCCTGAATGTACACAAAACCCTCCCCTTTCAGTATATTTTTAACAGTAATGCAACGCCATTTGTAACTTACTGGATATTGATATTCATAGTACACCATTGATCTATAAAACGTAACCATGTCAACATATAATAGGTGTATGTGATGTTTTAAAAATAAATAAATAAACAAAAGCAGTGGTGAACTCTTGGTTCTTTTAACCAAAAGTTTACAAATTCTAGTTGAAAAATAAATAAAAAGTAATGCCCATATAAAGGAATGCCACTACATGTACACCTCGACGAGCCTTTACTCTGCTCGACATGTGTCATGCACTTTTTAGCATTTTGTTACTCAATAAATATATGAGCCGCTTATTTGTTTATTTGAAAAAATAATTGTCACTAATTTTTACTTTGTCCTGTTTTGTGTCGCTTTTAAAATCAGCAAAAAGTTGAGTGTAGGTTATTCGTTGTATTACAATCAGCTTTTCTTTGCTTTTGTATTGCCTTGCCTTGCCTTCTTAGCCTGGTCTCATCTCGTGTTGTTTCGTCTCGCACCGTCTTGTCTCGGATCGTGTCGTTTCGTGTGGTGTCAAGGAAAACCTTGCAGTCCAAAAAGAATTAATTGCCAAAGCCGTGCACATAAACATGGTATCATACAGCAAACAGTAATCTTTTCTCGTTCAATGGAAAATGTGAATCACCATGGGCGGTGATTTCTTGTCACATGGGGGGGAGGGGTAATTTCTGAGAGGTCATCCTTGTGCACAGAGTGATACGGCGCATGCAGGGTCGGGGGGCTACGGGTGCGCATATTGTCAGTGACTTGAAGGGGGATGATTATATTAGTGATCGCCCATCAAGCCCCCCCCCTTCCCCCACACACATACCCCCCAACCCGGAATCTTCGCCCCGGCGGGAATCACACAATGGCTGAAAAACAAGGTGTTTATTGGGAATCGGACATTCATATGATTTGTGGCTGGAGACCCCGGAGTTCAGCCTTGTTTGCTATCCTTCTTAAATTTAATGCATGTAATGGCTGAGCAGGACTCTGAATAAAAGTCACAATCACGTATTTTAACGCTGTAAAATTCAAGAAAATGATGACGGAAAAAACATCGAAAAATTCAGGACAATGGCAAAACTAATGACAGTGCGGGAAACCACTGGGAAACGAATGTAGTTTTGTTTGATTCTCCCAAGTGACATCTGAACATCCCAAGTCAAGTCAACAATCAGCAGTCAGTTATTAACATTCCTTCAAGTGTTTTCCCGCCAAGCGAAAGAGAAAGTCCCACGCGAATTGTTTTTAATTCACCCGGCAACAGTGCCGAATCGCAGAGCCAATACAGTAGGTAAACAGGAGAACTTCTGTATGGTTATTATTCTCTTGATTCTCCACTTGTTTGGAAATGCTGAAGTCATCTTGACATAAAGTCTTAGCGTAATCCCGCTCAGTTTGCCGAGGGAATCTGTAAACACATATGTGAGTACTGTCAATACGACGTTAACTCCTTGTTTAGCTGGTGACCAAATTACGCCAAAAAGAGAGAAAAATGCATCGTAATGGCTGAGAGTGAATAGGGAGAGATCCTCTGTGACGACCGTGGGAATGGGATGTGTGCATACACACACCTAAATATTTGGTCATTGAAGTGAATGTTGGGTCTTGGAATTAACCGTTACAGTTTATCAAGCCAAGTTGCATATCTGCATAGTTTCAAACGGGACCATTTCTATTGGGTGTTATAATATTCTGGAGCGTTCCCGTATTTTACTTCTACAACAGTAAAACAAGTCAAAATTAATATAGCTAGCGCAGTTAAATAAAAAGTAAAACAAATAGAAACACTCCCAGCCATTAGCTTATTAGCCCTAAAATAACAATAATGTAACTCGGCTCATTGACGCTTTGTTGCACGCTATCAATATATTGTGTTAAAAATTCGAGCGCCCTCCACTGCCAGTAAAATGTGAAGAAGTTGAGCAAGTTGTGATCCAATTCGGGCGGCCTGTTCTAGACACGGGTTTCTTGTTCTCTCGCTCGAACGGCGGGAACGCGACTCAAGAACACTGTTCTCGGAACAGGATCACACACCACTTCCTCAGGGTTTTACAGGAACAAAAGAAAAACTTCGTGAAATTTGACTTTGAACAGCTGCCAAAAGTATAGAGATGGCTTCCAAAGCTACCGACCGTGAATGGGAAGTTTTGCAAAATAAACATTAATTATTTTCCTTCACACAGAAATCAATGTTCTTATTTAAATAGAAAAGAATTAGCCCATCTAAACATTAACTCTCGAATAACTTACCTGGACGCCGCCAGGTTGCATGTTGCTTGCCACTAACTACCACCAATAATCGGTTGTTTGTTCCCGGCGTTCGAGCAACAAATCGAGCTGTTCGTGAACATACGACAACAAGCCGCCCGAACTCAGCCTGTGTTTTCAGAGCACCGTCTATAGGCTTGAGTTGAAACTGATAAGTATTAAATCGACAAATTCTTCGAGGTTTTCTAAGAGATTTTAGTCGTCTCGTTTCGTCATTTCCTTGGGCAGCTTCGTAGAGGTCATTGATGTCTTCCGAGATTCCAGCTTGAAGAACTTTCGCGTTATGTTTACATTGTAAATTAACTGCGCCCTCTTACGATAAGGCCTCTGTTTTTGCAACTTGCGCTTTTGTGAGATGAAAACCGCCTCTTCCTAGCGAATGCCTGCAGGTATTATACAATCTGTTTCATCAATTGGGCTCCATGTTTAACAACACACAAGATTCATTTTCACTGAATCGATCGCTTGATTTTGGCTCTGGCCTCTTAGCTCATGCAGCTTTACCATACTGTGGACGATCTCACATTCTTGCCGCATAAAACAGTCGTTGTGCGATGGAGCTTGACGTCAATGCTACCACCCAACCCCAGATTATCGAATGCAGCCACTCAACTCGTCTTCTTAAATCTTTGTGAGCACACTAAATGATGACCTTACGTTGACCTTTCATGTTAGTAAATGCAGAGGGTTCAATGAGAGGGGGAACTATCACATTGTCTATCACATTGCACGTTTGTAGTGGACTTAATGGATTTGATTTTTAAAGGTATAGGAGTACATGCAAGTTTTACAGTAAATCGAGTGGATAGGCCTACGAGGCAATTTCTGTTAAATAATTTAATGTAAGTTTTCCCGGCTATCTGGACGCGATTTTCATTCCAATTCACAAATGTGTATTTTCAATATCGTCCAGTGAAATCAATTCAGGGCACTTGCAGTGTTTACTTTCGTCAATCGATGACACTGAAGACCTTGATCATATACACCATACTTGGCTCATTGGTGAATAAATTTAGAAGGATATCGGATTTTGTTTTGAATAAAAATACGTAATAAATATAAATATCTAATAAATCAAAGCACAGAAAACAGACAGACCAAGAGAAAACGTACTTATTTCGTAAGAGCTTTGTTAATTCAGGCCGACATTTTATTGGCCTAAAATAATTATGAGAATAGTAGGACAACCCCCTTCCACTGTCCTCCTTCCTTTCGCTGATCATGCCATATCTCTGTCTACATGACAGCTCAAGCTTAAGATTCCCTGAATTTGAATGAACAACGAGCAGTGCACTCTTAAATGCACACGAAAACACGCATTGTTCTGAATTTCCTATCACAGTGTTTGGATATACTGTTTTCACCATCGCCTGGGAGTCGTGTAAGCACAACGCAACGCCCTCGTCCCAATTACACTGCAAACGAATGTTTATGTGTAATCTGTGCACATGACTTCTGTAATCAAATGTATTATATGAATTAACAATGAGGATAACTTCATAATATCTGTCAGTATAAATGGAAGAATATTTCAATTTTTGTCCTTCATGCAAAACAAGTAATGTTTTAGGGAATTGTTCATATTTCCTTATTCAAGAGAAAATAATTTTTATTTTTAAAGCAATTACACAACCGCAATAAAAATGCTATGCTTAGCATAACACAGTTCTTCTCAGACGTTTTTGCTAACACAGTCCTTTCATGCGATGGAACGTTTTTCAGAAATTAACTTTTCAGCATGAATCCCTTCGCATTCTTTCCGACAAAAATGAATCGAATAAAGCTGAAAGAAGTTAAAGTTACGTTTTAATTAATTCGACCTTTCATTAGAGCCACTGTTAGGTTTAGTTGGCAGGACACCGTATCCTTGCGGCCTACGATAGGCATGCATACTAGAAATTAGTGTATAAAATACAATACATGTAAATATTGAAGAACAAAATTCTTAAAAACCACATGAATTCCACATGCTGTCTTTTCTTGTCCGCACTCCTATAACTTCACATGGATATACCAAGTCAGTGGTTATTTTCAGTCTAAATGGTACATAACTATATCAAAGTACACGTCTGCAAGAGTTAGACGATAGGTAAATGGGGGCACTGGTAAGTCAGCGTCTGACCAACGAGTTGTCTTGGCTAATCAGAGCTTAACTTCTTTCGACCTGTCCAGACTTTCGTATTTTTGCTTACTTTCACGTTAGAGAATAACTCTGCAGTTTTCTTATAGAGGCAGTTGAGGAGAGAAACTTCTCGTAATGGGAAACGTGAGTTTTGAGCATGCACTATGACTTAAAAGTTTCCATGTGACTGGCAAAAGCTCACCTCGGTGAGTCAGGAAACCGTTAAAGAGTAACTAAAATACCGTGAGAAAATTGGAAATCGTCTCATAAAAAAACACAGAAGGCTCTATGTGACAAG